TCTAAGTAGTTCATATACTTGGTTTCTTCCAAGTGTTGAGAATTTTTCTCTTCCTCCCAAGAACTGAGCCATAAAAAAGAGAATGACAACTTATAGATGATTAACTTACAATAAAACCAAACCAAACTATCTTGAAAGGATTACAGATACACAGGAAGTTATTTAAAAACAAACAAACAACCAAAAATCACCAGGAGGTCCTGAGCCCACTTAGCCCCTCCCCCCTGTATGTGTCACATAGCAGCCTTGGGGGATGCACAGGGAGCATGTCCATCTGCTGTGCATGGACTTGACCTAACTGGTGCCTGTGGACAAATGCAGTCTTGGGGGCAGCCATTGCAGTGGACAGAAGACAAGCTTTGGAGCCAAACGAACCTCGCATGTACCAAGCACTTTACCAAGCGACGTCTTCAGTCTTCACAACAGCCATGTATCTGTTGGGAGGGGCTTCACCTGCAAACAGCATAACGGCATGCTGGTAGTTGTTGGGACAGTTAGAGCTGGCACAGTGGCTCAGCTATCCCCTGCCCACCAAGATCCAGCCTCTTTCTTCTGCTGTGTTTACTCCGTGTGTGTGTGTGTGTGTGTGTATATATATGTGTGGTTATTATTTGTTGACATTGACCTTATGTTATTATGTATACCAGAACAAGACTACTGCTGGGCGCGTGCCACCTTCATGACTGTGGGCATTTTGGAGCCCATTCTTGTCTCATGCTTTGATGGCTTTCTTCCAGCACTTTATCAGCCAGTATTCTGTTGTGATCCATGGGGTTTACACCGGCTAATTTGCAGAAGTAGATCATCCGGCCCTTCTTCCTAGTTGGTCTTAGTCCGGGGACTCCTCGGAAACCTGTCCACTATGGAGTTAACCCTGCTGGCATTTGAAATCCTGGCACCATTGCTTCCAGCAGCATAGCTACCACAGTACAGCAGAGTGAATCTGTTCTAGTGTGTATCCTGTGTAATTCTCTCACAGAGAACCCACCTGATCAAGATGTAGAGTGATCCCCTCACCCCACAAGGCTCCCTCATGCTACTCCAATAGCCACCCGTACCTTCTGTGGATCACTGGACCATTAAGGCTGCTTTGAGTGGCAGCCACCCACAGACCCTGAGCCCTCGCTGACTTTGCCAGGCTGTTTGCATGGTGGATCTTCTCTGCCCATGAATGACCTGGAATGACCCTTGCTATCTGGTGTCTGGTCAATCAGAATTGAGTCTCACAAGATAAAGTTGCTGAGCACTCCCTCTGACTGGGAAAAGCCTCCTGAGCGTGTTGGGCCCATGGCATGGGGCTTCCTCCCTACTCCTTCCTCATTCTGGTGCAGTTTCTTGCTCTGAATTCCATCCCTTGGAATGTTCTGCTTCCCTAAGAACCGGGCCTCATCTCCCTTCTTGTCTCCTTCCCCCCAGCAGCCACCTGGGGTCTCCGTCAAACAGACTTGCTGTCACCCACCAGAAGTTGTACTTACTGCCTATAAAACTGTGGTGGCTGTACTGGCCACTCTTTTAGGGGGTCTTCTGTTTGTTAAAAGGATATCTTTCAGTTCTGCCATGGAGGATCTTTGAGAAGTTTAAGTCTGTGTAAAACGGCCTTCCTGTTTTGGTCAATGGTTCATTGACCATAGCTTGAGTGGATAAAGAATTGTAAGTTGACATGTGTGCTTCTCAGCCCTTGCAAGCACTCCACCGTGTTCTGCCGCCTCTGTCAGTCTGACGCGTGTTCTTTTATAGGTGATCTGACTTTAGCTCTGACTTTGAGCTAAAGTGTGTAGAGTGTGACTCTGCTTCAGGGCCTGGAGCTTTGTCTAACCACTGACTGAGGTTAGCAGCACAGTCCTGGCTCTCTGACCATGGTCTGCAATGTCTGCTAGAGCAGCATGGAGCATCGGGATGCAGGCGCTCACGAAGAGTGAAACTTTCTACCATCCTGGCCAGCACTCGGCGAGCTCTTTCAATCTGAGGCCTCACTCCCTTCACTTCTCTGTTCTTTGGTTCTCAGACTTCTGCTAGACACGGCCTTTACATATTTTATGGCTCTTAACTTTTCTTCCATGTTTTTTATTTCTGTCACTTTGTGTTCTGGGAAACACCATTAAATCTATCATTTAATTCACTTCTTCTCTCTTCAGTAGTCTTCTATTTAATCTGTGTATTGGATTTGCTTTTTATTTAATGTTTAATTTTTGTTTTGTTTTTAATTTCCAGAATTTCTAGTTTATTATTTTTCATACCTGCAGAATGCTTTGTCCTTCTTGTTAGATGCCGTCAAGTCGGTCCCGAGTCATAACAATTCTATGCACAATGGAACAAAACACTGCCCGATCCTGTGCCAACCTCATCATCCTTGGTACACTTGAACCCACTGCTGCTGCCAAAATGGGTTGGACTCTACCAATCCACCTTGGGGTGGGGTGGGGGGAGCTCTTCCTCTTTTTTGCTGACCTTTCACTTTACCAAACATGATGTCTTTCTCCAGGGACTGGTCCCTCCTGATAATATGTCCAAAGTATAAGAGACAAAGTCTGGCCATCCTGGCTTCTAAGGATCTATACTGTGGCTATACTTCTTCCAACACAGATGTGTTTTTTCTTTTGGTAGCCCATGGTACTTTCTGTATTCTTCTCCAACACCACATCTCAAATGTATCAATTCTTCTACGGTCTTCCTTATTTGTTGTCCAACTTTCACATGCATATGAGGCTATTGAAAATAGCATGGCTTGGGGCAGGCGCACCTTCGTCTTCAAGCTGACATCTTTGCTTTTGAACACTTTAAAGAGGCCTTGTGCAGTAGACTTGCCTAATGTAGTATGTTTGATTTCTTGACTGCTGCTTCCATGAGTGTTGATGGTAGAGCTAAGCAAAATGTGGATATTGTCGCTCCTTTATTTCATTGAGGATTTGAAATGTTGTGTCTCTCAAGTCCTCTTCAGGCTGCTGTTAGCTCTTCTTCAGTGATGAATTCTCCCTTTGACTCTCTCAGGGTGCTGGATTTCCTTCTGTGCTAATTACTCTTTGCAAGTTCGTCTTCCGAGGGGTCTTTTTCCTTCGTGTGCTCCATTTGGGGGTAGCCTCACTGTTAGGCCTTTCAGAGTGCCTGCCCCTCGCCCTCCTGAGTGCTGCTGTACCGCCACGCTGAGTCCTTTGCGGCAGCTCAGAGTGGACAGCACGAAACAGGAGGTCTCCAAAACCCTGGATAGGTGTGATCATCACAAAACAGTGGAGGATCTTGTGTCCACTGTACTTGGGACTTGTGGTTTTGGACCCATCTCTAAGTAAACATAAGTCCCTCACCCTCCTGACTCGCTTTTCTCTGGGCTCCCTGTGGGATATGAATAGGCCGTTTGCCCCGATTTGTTCCTGTGGGCTCCTCTCCATACCAAAAAAGATTCTCCCTTTCTGGTCTACAGTTATTTCCTTCTCTTTTGAAAAGTGTCTGTTTTAAAATATGTATTTCTTTCATTTTTGTGCCTTACATTGAAAGGTGTTGGGATTTAGGCTAGCAAAGAAATATCATCTGTTTTTCCCCAATTGGGAAATAAAAGCAGTCACTAAAAAGAGTAAGGTGTGCGGAAGCCAGCGTCTCACCTCAGGACTGATGAAGCTGATCTGGGAGACTGTGGGCTGGCTGTAGCTGCAGATGCATGGGGCTTCCTCCCACAGGTAGTCCCTGATGGACACTGAGCTTCCGTCCTGACAAGTACTTTGTGTAAGTTGGTTCTGGCATAAGTCAAATACCATTTTTTTTTTCATTATTATTGCATTTTATTATCAGTATCTATAGAAACCCGATCTTTATTTGTCTGGCGGGATTGGAAACATTATGACCAAGAGTGCTAACATCAGCAAACTATCGCACTGCGATAACATGTAGTACGTAGTAACAATAAGGCTTTGTTTGTTTTTTTAGTGGATGGTCGTAAATACAGTGTGTTGTACTCAGGTTCATCCTAAGTTAGGGACTGAGTGCGCTAAACTCCTGAGCTAGACAGATCAGACTGGGCAGGCCTCCCCTGCAGGAGCAGTCGGCTCTGTCAGGTAAATAACTTGAGGACCTTCCTGTGGACAGCTTGCTTCCAGAAGAAACGGGACAGAAGAGGCCAGGCTCCCCGTGTGTGTGTGTGTGTGTATGTGTGTGTGTGTGTGTGTGTGTGTGTGTGTTTGTGGATTTCCATGGGAAACCATGACTAAGGAGACGGAGCATTTGGCTAGCGGTGCATTCACTGTGTGAAGGAAACCTCAGGAGTCGGGAAGAAGGGTTTCTCCATCACCAGAAGGTGGAGTGGTAAGCGTAGGTACAGTCCGCTTCTTGTCCAGAAGTCCAGCATGAAGTCCATGCCCAGCTTCCCCACTTCTGGAACATTAGGACTTGGCTGCTAGTTACCCCAGGGGGACTGAAACCCTCCACTCTATCTAGCTTCCACACTAACCCTTCCTCAGTTTCTTTTCCTTCCCCAAACCACCGTTCTCCCTCCTCCTCACGGAGCATCCTCAGAGAAAAACGAAAAAGGAATGCATAAGCTTGCGTCTTGTCTGGTCTAAGTATGTGGTCCAACCGGTCCATTCCAGCTCAACAGGGCATTCATGGACTTCTGGAGCAAAAGCTCAGAATAATCACAAATGAACTTGCATGTGTTGCTCTGGCTAAGCGACAAAAAAGTTGATAAAAAGACACAAACACCCAAATGTGTCCTAATGAAGAAAAGAGCTTTTGTAGTAATAATTCAGAATTCATAGCTTGTTTTTTCCTTCCTTTGTATTATGGGGTGGCTCTTTGAACACAGAAATAGTGTATATTATCAACGTCATTGAATCTACTTCCTGTGTCCATACCTTTCATGAGTCTTTGTGTTTATTATCCTCCCTGAGAAGCTTAGCTGTACCTGTTTAACTCGGCTTCATTAGCTAAGGCTGTGAATTGGAGTGCTTAGTGAGGGGGATTTGAAACTCAAACATGTCTGCTAACCTATTACATCCCATGATCCTCTTTACTAGATCATTCCCAGCGACCCTTTCTGGGTGCCAACCACCGAAGAGGAGTACTTACACTTTGGAGAGAAGGCTGATTCTGAGAACCAGGCGCGGAAGTACATGAATGCGGTGCGGAAGCGGAAAGGTCTGTGTGTGGAAGAAAAGATTGTGGAGCACGCGGAAAAGCAGAGAACACTCAGTAAAAATAAGTAACTACTACTGCTGGGGGACCAGATGGCGACGTCTCGCCAAGGGCTGGAGAGCAGGAGAATGCTTTCAGGTTCCTGGTCCCTGTGTTTTCACGTCAATAAATTGAGTTCTATCAGTATTTTAAAGAGAATGATAGAGAACAAGTTTTCCAGGTCTTTTTTGTTTTCATTGATTCTGATCTAAGGCAAGATGTTACTGTGGGTACATATTGTGGCAGTAGCAGATCACTGTCCTCGAGTGCACTGTGGAAAGGGCAGCCAGTGCATGTGGGGGGCTGACCTGCAGACCCCACCGTGGACAGGGCTTCCTCTGTCTGTCCTCACAGTGTCAGCCTTCTAGTCACATCCTCTGTAAACATGGCGATGAATCTTGGCCACTTAAACATATGACATGTGTAACCATTGTTCACACCATTTCACAGCATTTGGAGAGACCCACGCACTCGAGAAAGCAGCTGTTTTTTCAGAAGTCAAATGTATCACTATTTCAGCGGATCCAGTGTTGCCTAGCGAAACAGTGTAAGGTCTGAATGTTAGCTTTTCAACCTTCTGTTGTTTAAAAAGCAGTTACTGTCAGCGCCACCCGTAGACAAGCGTTAATGAAAGGTAGGCCTTGTGCCTTTTTCCCTTTTTATCAAAAAAGGTCAATTTCTATGATTTTTCTGTGCTGTTTCTTCTTAACCTTAACGAAAGGATATTAATTAGTGTGTATGAGGTCATTGCCTTATTGTAAATATTTTTCCTAAATCTGCTCAGCTGCCTCATTTAAAGTGACCCCAGTCCTAAGGGACAAGTTATAAATGGATTTTGGAATTTGGGATGTTACACTAATATTTTTTATTAGCCTCTTAAAAGAATTTCTTTTCATAATCCATAAAGTTATCAGATAGGACTCCGTTCTGAAATGCCTTGCATGGGTTTCCTCCAACAATAAACTAGGTCATTGTTAATAACAGATACCTTATCTGTGACCTCTGGGCCTGGCATAGCTGGTTCAGGCTAACTGACCATGACCTTGGGGAAAGTGTGGCTGTGGCTAGGTGACTGCTATGTGTTTAAGTGTAATAGATAATGGTATCTGAATTCATTGGCAAGACTTAGGCCATAAATTCATTTATTTGAAAATGTTGATAACATAGGAAAAGGTAGTTCACTGACTTAGAAGTTTGTAAATACCATCAGTCAAACTGCCAGATATGCCATAAAATGACTCAGAAAAGGCTCCACTTGATCAGTAAGTTGTGTGTTTAATAGAGAGCTAGAGCTCTTCCTATGTTGTCTGGCCCTGCCGGCCATGCCTGTATAGGGAAGTGACATGTCAGATTGATGGATAGATAGCCTCTTTTCCTTTCCATGTTTGGGGGAGATGCTGGGAGTGGTACAATGACCACCGAGATGCCCAGTCTGCCAGCCCAGTAATCGGCCCTATTTGTGGCACTGCAGTTTAATGCAAAGTCCACTTGAACTGTAAGGTCCATGTTCAAGCTCACCAGTCACTCCTCAGAAACCCTATACAAGGTCGCTGTGGGTTAGTACTGACTCGATGGCACTTAAGAACAATTGTGTCGTTGGTAAGGGGAGCCCAGCCCTCATCCATCTGAGGCAGCACAGCCAGACTGTCTCTACCATGCCCAAACCTGGCCTCACCTTGTTGAAATAACTGGAAGGAAACCCACAAATTGTCAGTCCCTCTCTACGGAGGAATGATTTCTTACAGTCTTGTGTAAACAGGCCTAAGGCGGGCTGAGGAAGCCACAAAACCCCAACCCTCACTCCTAGATGATGCTTTAAGGCAGCACAAGCATAACGCCCATGCAGTCCAGAGGAGAGCCTTGGACCAGCATGCTCCGGTGTAAGCCTAGCTGAGTGAGAGTGGACAGGGGGCAGTGATTGGAATAGCATGCTCCGGTGTAAGCCTTGCCTGGGATTGGACAGGGGGCATGAAGGGTCTGAGGGAGCCAGGGCCGATACCACTCATTCACTGACTCAGCACAGCCCACAGAAACTTTCACATGCATTTTCTTTTTCCCTCCAAGCAACCAAAGACTTCATTTAAAGGGTCCCGAACTTCCTGGTGACAGTGATAAGCACTGGACTTACTCAAACCCACCAGCCACATAGGACAAAGATGAGGCTTTCTGTACAGTTTTGGAAGGCCTATGCAGGTCTACTGGGCGTTGGAATTGAGGTCCGTTGGTCTTCGAGGCAATGAAGCAGTTTGCCCTGGGAGACCTCTGACAGATGTGGAGGACTCCCTCTCTCAACAGCCAACTAGAGACGGGCACAGAGAGGGACATCCTCAGTGATTCTGAATGGGTGGGCGAGGGGAGAGGCCTGGACTCCAGGACCCCCACTGCAGCATGGGCTGAGACCAGTCTAGAACCCAGGGTCAGAGTTTCCATAGACCAGAGGTGAACTACCCCTCTCTCGTGGTGGTGGTGGTAAGCCACTGAGTTGGTTCCGACTCATAGTGAACCCTGTATAGGACTGCCGAGGCTGTCAATCTTTACAGGAGCAGAAAGCCTCATCTTTTTCCCACAGAGTGACTGGTGTATTTGAACTGCTGACCTCAAGGTTAGCAGCCCAGCTTGTAATCCACTGTTCTTCCAGGGACTCCTTCCCCTCTACTAGGGCTCGAACATAACAATTGTGAGGCCAGCACGGGACTGGGCAGTGCGTAGGGTCACTGAATCAGAACTGACTCGTGGCACCAACTAGGTTCCTGGGTGACACAAACCATTTGCACTTGTGATCTGTAGGATAAGCACTTGACTGCTAACCCTGCATGGTTGACGGTTCAAACCCATGAGCCATTCCTCAGACACCCTATACAGAGTCCCTCTGAGTAGGAGCTGACTCGATGACACCAAACAACTACTAACTGAAAAGTTGGAGTCCTAGTGTGGCACTGTAGGATGAGCACTGGACTGCTGACCCCAAGGTGGGTGTTCAAACCCATATTCCTCCTTGGAAACCCTGTACAGGGTAACTGTGAGTCAGAACCAACTCAATGGCACTTAACAACAACAACCTAAAGGTTGGTGGCTTAACCCCACCCAGCAGTGCTACGGATTATGCTTTTGCTTCCATGAATATTAAGCCAAGAAAATCCAATGAGGTCACCATGAGCTGGAATCCAAGGAGTGGCTGGTGGTTTTGAACAGCTTGACCTTTCGGTTAGCAATCCAAGGCTTATTCTACAGTGCCACAGCCAGACTCCAACTAGAGGGTAGAGATAGACACACATAATAACTTGGGTGAAGAGAAAAGCAAAAATAAATCAAGGGTTGTAGATACCATTAAACAAAATGGGACAAGCAGGATGAAAATATTTAAAACGCTAAGTAATAAACAGAACATTCTGAATGTCCCCCTACACATACGCAAGCACCAGACAGTGAACGTAGTGAAGTGTTACTCCGTGTCCAGAGCTTGTGGCGGAGAGCGCATTTTCCAGCGTCTTAGGAGTGAGGAATGGAGAAGTTTAACCCACGTGGTAAATGGTGTTCAGAGCTATATTCAGAGTCTCCTAGAAAGACAGCGTAGTTCCCACCAGAGAAGAGGGCTGAGGGAGTAAGGGGACAAGACAGAAATAAGGGTCCCCACTAAGCCGTCCCTGGTCCAGGGCTGGGAGCCTAGAGACTTGAGTAGTAGGGATGGAGCTGCTTCCCAGCCCACCTGCCTTCTGCTTCTGGCCCTTCTGGAGTTCCCGAGGAAATTTCAGAGAAGCAGGCAGTTGCATTCAGCTCCGCAGGTCCCTCCCATAGTTCACCTCTTTGGGTTGAGATTGTCAGTTGGTCTAATGGAGAGGACCCCTCGGGAGAAAGGACAGATGATCTAATTCTGAAACATCAGTTATTGAAAACCCTGTGGAGCACAGTTCTACTCTCACACACATGAGGTCACAATGAATCAGAGTCATCACCGTGAGAACTGGTTGGTGTTGGGTGTCGTCAAGGCGTTTCTGACTCATAACCTCCTCACACACAGCGGAACGAATCGCTGCATAGTCCTGAACCATCCTGGACTCACCGGTGGGGTTTGCACATCTCTGACACGTCTTTGAGTCTGGCTGACATGCTTTTGTATGATTAAGGTTCAGAACGTAGACCAGCTCTAAATCTGCTGGCCCAGACTTCTTGTGATTTCTCCCTTGGTGCCCAGTTTTAATTTAAGGGAGACTTGGTGACACATAAGTTAAGTGCTTGCCTACCAGCCGAAAGGTCAGTGGTTGGCGCCTACCAGCCACTCCTCTAGAGGAAGATGAGAGTCTACTCCTGTAAAGATCCCAGCGTTGGAGGCCCTATGGAGCAGTTCCATTGTGTCCTACAGGGTCACCTCTGTGTATCGAATTGACATGATGGCCTTCGAACCATAGCTGGACTTGAACCTGTTTAGAAGACCATTCATTGATCAATTATCTTGAAGAATTTTTATGTATTCATTTTTTAATGAGCATTTGCAGAATACTTCAAAATTACAAATGGTTTTCCATTGTCCTTTTTATATATTTAAAAAAAAATAACAAGTTTCCTGCTGAATCCCAGGGCACTGGTGTTCCTGGATAGTACAGCCGTGAACTCATGAGCAAGGACGCACAGGCTTAGAAGTCAGAATACCTGTGCCTCGTTACTCCGAGCCAGGTGACCTGCTCAAGTCATTGAGTCCTAAGGCTCATATTGCACCCCTCCACCCCCTACCCTCCCACCCCAGTAAGGTTTGTGTGGGGGGGAGGTGGACAGTTCCTCCTGTGCAAAGGTTGTTGGGAGGAGTCAGTCGGGTCATCTGTGTTCCCACACGGTGCCTGCTGCATTGGGCTCAATATAGTATGAGGGGTTCGTCTTGCTGTTTTACTGGGTTTTTTTACAATCAGTAGGCAATGCGCAGGCACTGAGAATGTGCCTGAATTTAGGCCAATGGCAGAATCAGTCGAATACATAAGATAAAAATCCAAACTGCATATTTCACTTTGTTTTTCTCTGAGTTCCCCCTCCTGGTGAATTTGACCAGTTCAGACCCAAAAGGAGAGGAGATGGTGGTGTGCAGCCCGACTTGTAACCCCTATGCTACCAGAGCTCCTTAAGGGAGCTACACTGACGTCCCAGGTTCTCCACATCAGTTTTCTTTGAGGTCAGATTT